TCCAGTTTTTGAATTCAACTTTTTCCAGCATCTAAGACTAAATTTGTGGTTTATTCCCAGCAGTACTGAGGTCAACTCACAGACTTGCACCAAAAACCTCATAAAATGTTACGGTTTATTGTGAGGACTTTTTCTTAAATTCAAACCATATTGTTTTCAGGTGAGTTTTGCTTTGGGATTTGGATTTGTTTGGAACCAAAACTAGAACAAGAAATTCAGGCAGAAGGTATTGGAGAAACCTATTTAAACAAAAGTATTTTTTCCCCAAAAAAAAAAAAAAAAAAAAAGAAGTCAATAAGGTCATAAGAACTTGTAAGCAGATGTAATTCTGTACTAATTAAAGCCTTGCATGTCATTAACACATCACTGCAGAATCAGCTTTGAGAGCCATCAAGAAATTCTTGTGGTTATGCAGCATATACACCAAAGCAAGTCTCACCAATGGAAGTGAAGAAGTCTGTATGGGCATAGGAAAAAGGCAGCAGAAGTCCAAGGGCGACAGTACACCAAATCTTGTTGAATGCCATGTTCCAAAGCTGTCACCTCACCACGTACCTACGAAAGAAACAAAGGAGGTAAAACATCCCTATTCACCAGAGAGTTGAATCTGCTTTCAAGAGGCAGCTTATTCTCTTGGGCCTGCCGCTAGTTCTTGAGGCAGCAAAACCTTGACAAGCTTGAGCAGCTCTCTCCAAGGACCAATGCCCTTCTGCAGGCTTTCTTAGACTTTTGCCTTGTGTGCTAAGAGAAGAAAGAATAGCTTGGAGACAGGGTCTTCACAAGCACTCTTCATCTTTTTGATATCAAAGACACGTGGCAGATAGAACTGCTTCACAAGAAGTACCAAAACACCCAAGACCAAACACTGAAAAAAAAGGTTAAAAATACGTATTATCAAGTTCATCCACCTGATGGGGGGGAGGGGAAGTTTCCTTTCATCGGTCAAAAAGATGCCAGTGAAAGAGGTCTAAATGGAAACCCTACACAAGCAGTCCACACAATAAGTTACTTGCATGCTCCTGCTCTTCTGCTGCCACCACCACGAAGCCAGCCTCCAGACCCCATACAAAAGGTTTCTGTGGGATAGTTCGTAATTAGTCCCTGAATTAGTCCACATCAGACTCACAAGCAGCGCTTTCTCCCACAAACAGCTGCCAAGCTCTCAGCCATTCAAGATCCTGAACCCTTTTAACAGCCTAGGATTTCCTCACTACTGCATACTTTAAAAGTAATTACATTGTCTGGGAATTCGCAAGATTTACTTTTTTTCCAAACATGAGAAAGCTGAAACCCTCATGTATTGTATCTGCTCAGAAAAAGTTAAAACAATCGCACGTACTAACAGAAATTGTTTTACAACTCTTCCAACAGCGAGACAACTAATGAAAAAAATAAAGAAGAAGAAAAGAAAAAAGCAACATCACAAAGCAAGAGCAGCTACAAAGTGGCTTGGTCTATTTAGGGAAGAAAGCAATATGCTTTTGATGGAGTTGACAGTACTGATAGCAAACAACATAAAAGCAGGTGTGCCATTCATATAAGGAAGGCATAAACAAAGATCAGGAAAGTTCTGAAGTCACAGCCAAGGAAAAATCATCCCACCCTCAAGTGGAGGTACGAACAAGAAACACCCCCTCGACTCCAGAGTGCATTGTCTCTCCTCATATTGCACCTGAAGGGTCAGGAAGCAGTTCCCTCCTTTCCATTCCATCCCTAGCACTGCAGAACGAGCAGTACTCAGGTTTAGATTTACTGACTCCGGGGACTGCCTCTTGCACAGGGTGAGCACAGTTTCACTGGCACTAACAGGAATAGCAGGAAACTCCCAAGAGCCCAGAAAAGCAGTACAATCTCCAACTCTCGTAAATCATCTGAAATCTGCATGACCAAAACTGAAGGGCTCAAACATTCTGACACACTCACCAGCTAAAAGAAAACTGTAAAGTGAAAATTTGGAGAGAGAAGCCTAGGGTCCTGCTTTTCCCCCCGAGTCGAGTCCGGTGCCTCACCAATGCTCTAAATCAGCCCTACTGTCCACAGCAGCATTCCTCACCTCCTCCTCACAGAAGCTCACTTCACCCTGGTTCAGTTCTGATACAGTTCACTCTACAGCCATGTAACATCCACCCCAGCACAGGAGGGCAATTTGGAGGCAGCAACTGGCAGCCAAAGACAGCAAAGGAAGGCAAAATTCTTGTTTCTGGGAGGAGCACAGGTTTAATCCATTTACAAAACTCCAGCCCCAAACACAATGAACAAGCACACAACCCTCCAGCCAGCCTGCCACACTTACCTACTTTTCAGCATAAATCAGGGATCCTGCTACGGTCTATATAACTGTACCTACCTCTTCCATGACTAATGCCAGTCTTATTAAAGAGCTCCAGTTGAGTAATTGCTGCTGTAAATTAACAGGTCATATCTGGAATCAAGTCTTCTTGCTAAAAAGTTTCCTTTCACTCCTTACTGAAGCTGTATCCACATGCACAAGGACACTGATGGGTACCTGCACTCTCCCTAAAAACACTGCTCAATTCATATTTTGCTCTGCAGAAAGCCAAGTGCCTCCTGCTCATTCAGCACTCAAGCTAATACATCTGTGAATCAATTACAAAGCACAAACAGTTCTACTACACGATAAATATTTGCTAACGTTATCAGTACTCAGAATTCATCACGCTATTTGTTTACTGCACTCAGCAAAACTTCAGAAAGTTTACTTTTTGCTATTAATCAATATGAAACTTTTCTAAAACACAAACAAAAACACACCAAAAGGTGATGAAAACAATGTCCCCTCTCCACCTACGGCTCTTGGTGATAGTCTTCCACCTCACATGACAGAATGATGCTGTAATGCCTGTTGGAGCATTATGCTTTGGAAACAGTCTTTCCTCTTCTCTACCTGCCTTTACAGGCTGCTCCAATACCGGGATGACTTTGAACACAGTTGCAACCCTATTGCCTCCTCATACCTTCGCAGGCACACAGCAGAAGAGCGAGCGAGTGGCAATAGCCACAAATGCAACAGGGGAAATTCTAAGGAGATACCAAGAGAAAGTTTCTCACTGTGACAGCAGCACTAGAAGAAGTTGCCTAGAGAAACTGCATCTCCCATTCTTGAAGCAATTAAAAACTAAATGGGACAAGCCCACATGCAACCTAACCTAACCTGTGAGTTCACCCAGCTTCAAAGAGGAGGTTAGACTACACAACATCCAGAGGTCACTTCCAGCTTCATTTTTCTTTCCTTTCGCAGTCTCCAGCCTTTCTGTCATTTGCAGGGACTCAGACTCCTGTAACAGCTTTCAGCCACCCAAGACTACTTCCCTCCCAGCCAGAATTCAGAGCTGGAAACAGAGCCCAAGGCAGCAGCCAGCCAAGCTTTCACTGCCCTAACAGCAGTTGCTAAGTAGCACGGCTTTCAAAGCCACTGCAAAAGGATCAGCTACAGGTTCCCAAATCAAAGAAAAAAAAGCTCAGTTAAGATAGATGCTGGAAATCTCTTAGACACACAAGCTGCCAAATAAGTAGGCTTAATGTCTTCCTATCAGTGACATGAAGTAAAACAAGATGGAAATCCTCTCTACATTATTTCTGTCAGTCTGACTCTCCTCCTCAGATGCGTCCCTCAGGCAGACAGGGAGATGGCAGCTAAGCCATCTCGGAGAGGAGGGAATCCACTACCCACACACAGAAGTGGGAGTCCAGCTGACAGCATTAACATGACTTTCCATGAGAAGTACATTTGCTAAGCTTTGAAACAGTAAAACATGGCGGAGCAGAAAAAATAAAAAGGAAAAAAATAGCAAAGAACAAACAAACATGAAGAGGCAAGTAAAACAAAGCAGCAATTAGACAAACAATACTGCCAAGCCAGCACAGGATTCCACGAACAGCAGGGGTACGCAACAAATGCCAAACGATGAAACTTAGAGGTGGGTTTTTAGAGGGTTTCTGGAGACTTCAGCTCTGCTCTGCAAGTAGAAACAATCTGCAAAAGTCACACGAGAGTGGCCATGCATGTAGCACCCACGCAAGCAGGAGGAGAAGTGAAGTTAATACAGAGAGTGATATAACCCCACAACAATCAAAGCCATGTTACTTGGTGACCAAAGACTTGAAGCACTTCACTGAAGATGCTTATTATACAAGTCTCCTCACCACCAATTCCAAGCTCCCAGGTGCCAACCAGGATCAGAAAACAAGACAGGTGTACTTCAACATGGAATTATTCCGGAATAGTTCTAACTTAATTCCAAAACAGCTTCTATACTTAGGTAAGAAATAAGTGACCTACTCAAAATTAAGTCTGCTGCAAGGCCAGGAGTCAAAACTGTATCAGCAAGAGCCACAATATTTGGTTTAAACACTAGTCCATTCTCACAATCCTTACTGTATTTCACTGTATGCTTAAAAAAATAAATCCATTAAACTGAGCTGAGCTGGGGAGGAGGGGAAGAGAACAGCACCGCAACCGATAGCTGCTCACTGCACTAAACTTCTGTCTCAAGGACAACAAGTTATAGTCTTATGACTCAATGTGACTGGAGACAGTACTCAAAATGAAAGAACTTTCCCAAAGTACCACAAACATTTAGCTGTCACCATTGCACAGTCTCACAGGACAGAAACACTAGAATCCAGTTCCTTCAGTTCTCCGTCGTAGTATATTTAAAGGCTGTTTTACAATTAAGATCCAAGCAGTGAGAGTATAAAGATTTTCTAGAATTGCTTCTAACTGAAGAACATGGTATGTTTTAGGCTTCTTTTTAATGACAAAGTTGCAATACAAGTAATCTTGTATGTATAAGCAGTATGATAATCTAATAAAACAGGAGAATCAATTTTAGAGTCAAGTAGGTGATGTGTTTTAAGTATGATTTACTGCCAACTTGAAGACAACTTTTGTGAGTCTGCCTACAGAACAGGCCTGTTTGTACACAAATTTGCACCCAAGGAACTGAAGCAAGTATTCCCTAGGTTTCCTCCAGAGTAAGACTGAATAGACACAGCCCTCTCAGAGCCCACTTGTTTTAACTTTTAAGTCAAGACAAAGAACACTGGCGATGGAGCGGAGCACTTATCTTACTAGACACAACAAGCAGAAGGTTATTTTTCTATTTATCCTTCTGCTCAAGGATTAGCTGAATACCTATAGAGATGTACAGTATGTTTTCAAATATTAAGAGTGATTATAAAGAAAGCAGGACAATCCCAGTGATCTCCAACTGAAAACCAGTAACAGAGAAGAGCTCCTTCAGGCTGAAGCTGTAGCCCCACTGGTGGTTCTGCGGTAGCAAAAAGCCTGCTCCTCCAGGGGAACAGCAAGTCATTGGGAAGTTACTGCAAGAACACTCCCTGGAAATACACAGCACAAGTGACAACAAAGATGCTGTTTCAGCAGAGACTTTATTTTCAGTCTTCCCCCAGTTAGACAGATGCAATTTATCAAGTAAGTTTTTTTTTTTCAACAAGTATGTTCCTTCAGAATGCTTTCTTTAAAAAAATAAGTGTCCTTATGTATATGAACCTCAACATGGAGGCAGTTTTTC